ATTATTCCAACTGCTGGTCCCAAGAGAAATTTTTTTTATAGTACGCGTGCACTCGCCAGAGAGACAGAGACAGAAAGAAAGACATCAACCCCTAAAAGGGATGGCCAAGCTGCTATCCCTTCTCCTCCATTCTCCTCTCGGAATTTTGGGTGTGCACATACACACACACATCCAGTGTGAGATTTAAGCCACTGAGTCCAGGACTTGAACTGCAGTCGACTATGCGGGAATCCAACGATGTAACCATTATGCTATCCGCTGGCCCTAGACTTTTTTTTGAGAGTTTTTTTTTTTTTTTTGCTACAGGGCATGTGCACTCGCCACAGAGTCGGACAGAAAGCAAGAAATCGTCCCCTCAGGGGAAATGGTCACACTGCAATCCCTTCTCTATTCTCCTCCTGGAATCTCAGGCACACACTACACATTCACCTGTTTTGAGTTTCAAGCCTCCAGGTCTGGGCCATGTGGGAGTCTAGTGAAGTAACCATTACACCACCTGCCGGACCCCATAGGAAACTTTTAAAAAGCAGTCTCTAAACCTTAAAAAAAAACAGGGCCAGCAGGGGGTCATGGTGGTTAAGGTGCTGGGCTCTCACACAGCCAACTGTGGTTCAAATCCTGGACCCAAGTACATGGGCATGTGTACCTAAAATCCCAGAAGAAGAATGGAAGAGAAGGAATTGTGGCATGGCCATCCCCTGAGGGGTGATTTTTCAATTTCCTTCTTTTTTTTTTTTTTTTGGGGGGGGGTTGTCTATAGGGTGCATGCACTCACCAGAGAGAGACAGAGAGACAGAAAATGAGAAATCACCCCGCCGGAGGGATGACACACCACAATCCCTTCTCCTCCATTCTCCTCTTGGGATCTTGGGCACGCACACACATGCACCCGGCGTAAGTTTTAAGCCACCAGGTCCAGGATTCGAACCGCGGTCCACTACATGGGAGTCCAGCGACGTAGCCATTATGCCAACTGCTGGTCCCTCAACTTCCTTCTTGCTATCTTCCTCTCTCTCTCCAGCAAGTGCACGTGCTATGGTAAAAACCTTAAAACAAATTTAAAATTAAAAAATCTGTTATCAGGCTCTTTAAAATACAAGTATAAACTAAGAGACAGACCAAAAGATCTTCTCAGTGCTAGAACTAAGGTTGTATTGCTTACGAAAACTTATTTCTCTTGCATACTATTGATATAAAAGTCACCACCCTTTTGAATAACAGTTGTTAAAACAAGAACTACCTTATATTTTCTGCTTCAATTTATCCAATCATTTTCATTTCACCAGGAATTTATTTGAAGAGTAATGGCAGAGAATGAGTGAAAGAAGAAAAATGTCGAGAACCAGTAGTTGGCGTAACGGCTATGTCGCTGGACTCCCACGTAGTCGACCGCGGTTCGCATCCTGGACCCGGTGGCTTAAAACTCATGCCAGGCGTGTGTGCGTGCATGCCCAAGATCCCGAGGAGAATGGAGAAGGGACTGCAGCGTGACCATCCCCCCTGGGGGGTGATTTCTCGCTTTCTGTCTCTCTGTCTCTCTCTGTCTGTCTGGCGAGCGCACGCGCCCTATAGCAAAAACCTCTCCAAAAACAAAAAAAAAAAGAAGAAAAATGTCAAATTTGGTCATAAATACAGCGAGATAACAGCTATAGTCTAGGTTTATACGGCTGTGCATTTTCTCATCGATAATAATTCTATAGACATACTGTATTCAGATCAACTCAGAATAGTTAAAAAAAAAAAAGACCCTGTCATATCTGCTTCACAGACCAGTGTATGAGTTTGAGAAAACACAATAAAAGATGGCATGCGAGATAAGTTTTTGGAACTCCATTGAAAAAAATACTTTAAGGTAAAATGTTGAAATAATAATTTCTAAAAGAAAGGATAGCAGTAATTCTACTAGCCAACATTAAAATATAGTACCTACAGGATCTTAGGTTTCTTTTCATTGTTATGTTCTTATGGGAGATACTGTAAATAGCTCTTACATTTTCTAATCAAGTTCCTTTCTTCCATGGACTATCACCTGACCCTTAAGAAGAGTACTGCTCTGCACCAGTCTTAAATTACTAACCTATGGTATATCTACATCATCTCCTTAGCCAAGTTCCTCAGGAAAAACAACCCTATCTAGTATCTCACACAGCACCTAACACGAAGCCAAGCAGTTGGTTCTCATTAAGTACTTAATGCCTGATAAGGCGTTTATCTTCATACTTTTTGTGCAAGACCTGTAAATATCCTCAATTCATAACCACAGTTGCATGTACTTGGTACTAACAATTCCACACTCTAAAAATGATTGAAATCATCAACAATCCACTGTTTCAATATTGGTATATGAGCAACAGCTCTCTGCATATGTTTGACCAGACTAATCAACTCATCTCTGATAGCAATGACATAATCAAACAGGTTAAATAAAATACGGCTTTTTAAACTGAGTTTCCTAAAACCGTGTAAATGTTGAAACCACATATCAACTAATCATTACTCTACAGATGCTTAGAAATAAAACAATACTTTGTCTCTGCATTTCAAGTTTCTATGTACTTTCTTGTAACAAAAGCCAATCTGTCTTTTTCAAAATTGTTTCTCCTGGCAAATATTTTTGCTGTCTGGCCAAGTTTTGTGTTAAAAATAAAGTACAGTATTACAACATCAATCAACATTTAAAGTACTTAATGATCTATGAAAGAAAATATACAGCAATTCTTTTGAAACAAGCAAGCCAATCAAAGCTTTGTTTATTTTATCAAATCAAGAGTGTGGTTTTATGAAAATAAAATCACATTTGTACTTAGAGATATAAAAGTGATATTAAGCACTTAGGTAATATAAGAAAACAGATTGTTAAAAAGAGCTGTAAATGGCAAGAATGACTTAAAGACATAACAGAACCAACTGTCTCTTTACTCCCCCCTTCCTGTCTGTGCAACACTGGCCTCTTGCCGGCCCTTCAAATACCAACTCTACAAGCATAGTTAGCTGGAGCTTTTCTGTAGCTAATACAGACTTCACAAAATGAGGCCAAAGTTCTGATACATTTACCATGAATATAAATTGTAATTTTTTTTTACATGAATAGAAATCTAGGCCACTTAAGCCCTATCAGGTACAATCAAGAAAATCTGAAAATACTCTGCTAGGAGTTTGAACAAGTGCCTGAAAGAGCATTCTGCACTTCAAGGACTCTGACCATATTTATCTGCTACCATAAAGCCATAAAACTGATCTTACTATCACCTCCTAGAAATGACTCAGATAGTGTCTAAAAGAGGATGTGGCCTTCAATCACACAGTAGCAGGACACATTGCACTGAGTTTTCACAGACCAACAGGTTGCTTTGGAATACTTCCTCTTTGCCTCCATTAGCCTAGCCCAACCCTAAGATTCTTTAGCCACCCTTTTAGGTGCCCAGTGTGTCCAGACAATGCCGTAGTTACAATGGCCTTCATTCTAACTGGATTGTTTTCCCAATAAATACTGGCCTCTTGATAAAGGCAACCATTTCAAAAGATGGTGTACAATACAGAGGACACTGCCGTATCTTCAAGGAGAGGGAGATATGCAGAACAAAATACAAGTCAGACTATAAATAACCGCTTTCCTGACAAGAACAGAGTAATGCAGAAAAATAATGAGCTTTGATCATGTGTGAAAAGATCAATGTTCAAATCTCAGGTTCTTTAAGCTATAAAATGAAACTAAAACCACCTACTTTAGAGTTGCTAATGAATAGTAAATGAGAAGGCTAAACAATATGGATATGTTACATCAAACCACCATAGATACTCAGTATGTAACTGTTTCCTTGCTGCCCACTTCCACAAAATGAGGCCAAAGTTCCTATACATTTACATGAATATAAACTGTATTTTTTTTTTACATGAATAGAGATCTAGGCCACTTAAGCCTTATCAGGTAAAATCAAGAAAATCTGAAAATATTCTGCTAGGAGTTTGAACAAGTTTAGAGTTCCTAGGCTGACCATGTCTTACAAAGTAGGTAGTTTTTAGATGGGCTATAAGTTTCCTTAGAATCAAGTTATTCTGAGCATAACTACCTTACAACTTACTGCTTTTTATATTCCTAAACATCTCCCATCTCCTATCTCCTACTGGATTCAGACCAACTTACTTTGGCTTGTCCTTTGGTGCCCAGTGCCCTTGGACACTGCCTCCTTGGTGTCTAAGTCACTGTGGCTGTTGTGTGACAGTATCTCAGCTGTATTGTCTCTTTTGTCTATTCTAATTTATATTTTATGTTATGACACATGTATGTCTTAATTCCCTAATTACATGCCTGTTACTGCTATGCCTGACTGAGACACCTAAGCTGATGCATTTCTAGGCTCCATTATCACCTTTCCTATAACCTTGAATTACCTACTAAATTACAACCCTAACCTGGTTTTACAAATCAGAGATTAACATGCCATCTTTGTCAGCTGTTAGATTCAACCAAGGACAAGAACCACCTGATTATGTGAGGCCCAATTGATTATCCTAAGGACAGGACTCACTTTAAGGAATAAAAAGATTAATGGGATTTCATATATACATCAAAAAGTACATAGTGAGTACCAGTCTATAGAGCACCATCTACCATCATAAATACCTAATACTATAGCTAATCACTGCACGAGAGTCACTATTTTATTTGATCATACTGCCCTATTAGGTCAGATAGCTTTAGTTACTAGGATGAACATGAACTGATCAGGGAGAAGTCATAACCATAAAAAGTTGAATCAGTCAAATAAACCTCCTTGATGGTGAACAGGGTTATAGCCAACACACAGCATTGTCAATACAGCCAGAAAACTAACTGGAAGTCAGGGCTGACTGAAGCAAATTAGCCGTAGGAGATGGAAATGGAGTCACACACCAGGAAAGCTGGTCTCACTCGGTTGTGCCAATGGGTGGTAGACGACAACATTCAATACAACACTATGCTATGGGAGTGAGGGAGAGGAAAAGAAAGAAAAACCTACTTTGCTTTTTAAGTTCTTCAATTTGTTCTTCCTTTAGATCTAACTGTTCTGTAAGTCTTGATGCAGAGTCCAGTGCAGCATTTGCTTCATCCAAATGTTCCTGAGGAAGGGAAGTCCATTAGAAAGTAGTATGGAAAAACTCACAAACTATTAGGCTGGGATAAATCTTGGAGTCAACTCTCAACCTCAGACATTAGTTGATGAAGCTGTGCCTGAGACCTTGGACAAGTTCGGATAACTAGCAAGTATCAAAAATATAGAATCCATACTCCTCCACAAATATGCTCCTTCTTTTAGAGGTACTGAATAAAAAAAAGAGAGAATGTTACTAAATGACACTGTGACAGTTTAAAAAAAAATAATAAAGCTACAAAAAAAAGAAAAGAAACAGATATAGAAGGTAAAAAAATATTGCAAGGACTTCTTTGCTCTTTTAAAATTTTTGCAAGTCCAGACCAGCAGTTGGCATAATGGCTATGTCACTGGACTCCCATGTAGTCGATCGCAATTTGAATCCCAGACCTGGAGGCTTAAACTCACACCAGGCGTGTGTGCATGTGTGCCTAAGATCCTGAGAGAATGGATGAGAAGAGATTGCGGCATGGCCATCCCCCCGGGGTGGGGGATGATGTCTCACTTTCTGTCTCTCGGTCTTTCTCTGTTTCTCTGGTGACGCACATACCCTATAGCAAAACCCTCTCAAAAAAAAATAAAAAAACTTTTTTTGCAAGTCTAATAGATATAAAATGATGTTTCACTATGACTTTATTATTTTAAATTTTATTACCCTGACCACTAGTTAATCTGAGCACTTTTCTTCAGGTTTACAGGACAGCTGAATCTGCTCGTCTGTGAAAACATCTTTGCACAGGGACCAGCAGTTGGCGTAATGGCTATGTCACTGGACTCCCACGTAGTAGACCATGGTTCGCATCCCGGACCCGGTGGCTTAAAACTCACGCTGGGCACCTGTGCATGTGTGCCCAAGATCCTGAGAGGAGAATGGAGAAGGGATTGTGGTGTGGCCATCCCCCCAGGGGGTGATTTCTCGCTTTCTGTCTCTCTGTCTCTGTCTGGCAAGCGCATGCTCCCTATAGCAAAAACCTCTCAAAAAAAAAACCTCTTTGCACATACTATCCATGCTTCAATTGAACTATCTTTATCTTATCACTTTATAAGACCGTGCTGCACAGTAGATATGGAAACTATGTCATCCGTGGCACACAAATACTATTTACCAGATCTGGCATTTGTGTAACTCTAATATTTTTACCATGTAAACATTTTTAAATTGTATACAGTAAAACACTAAAACATGTAGGACCCCAGTCTAAACATATAGCCTCCTAGATTTTCTTGCAAGATATTCTGCCTTTTATATATAAATCTTTAATATATAGAGTTTCTTGATGGGAGTACTTTTGACATTCCTGGCCTGCTAAATACCAGAAAAGCCATACAGTCACTGTAATAAGCAAATTAACCCCCAAAATTCAGTACCACTCCTAGTTGAGAATTCCTGCTTTAATACAACTAAAATTTGTTTACATGGTACAAAATGGAATCAATTTATTTTCTTCCATATGGACAACTAGTTATATCAATATAATTTATTAAGTAATCTCTCCTTTTTCTCATTAAAGTAAGACTAGTTTAGGACTTAAATCCTCAAATATATCCTGGATTATTTTGGAATACATTCTTTCTGACCAACTAATATAGCTGATGTCATTCATACTGATTTGTAGCTCCATTTTGATATCTAATAGGCAAGTCCCTCTTGACAGTTACTCTCACTTCACTTTATAAGACCATATTATAACTGAAAAAAACAGAAAAGAAAAAAAAAAGACCATGTTATATATAGTATATTCTAAGGTATTCACCTATGTAAATTTCAGGTCAAGTTTTGCCATCTTTGAGTAGTGTAAAAATTTTCTGGACATGACATCATAGGCAGGCCAGTCCCCAGTTATTCAATTAAACATAATCTATATGTTGCTATGAAGATGTCTTACAAATGTAATCAAAGTCATTAATTTAAAGATTTTAAAGACACATTATCCTGGATAATGTGGTGGGCCTGAATGGAACAGCTAACAGCCCTTAAAAGCAGAGCTTATGCTTCCTCAAAAAACAGGAGAAATTCCTTCTATGAACAGCAGCTTCTGCCTACGTCTGTGGAGTTCTATCTCGCTTGCTGTTTTTCTTTCCTGTCTGTGGACAATAGTTTGGCCTAGGCCTGTGAGTTCCAGCCTGCCTTTGATGTGGTCTTCCCATCTTGACTGTCAGCCCTATGAATTTCATCCTTGTTTAGCCAGCCCCACAATCATGTAGCCAGTTCCTTGTAATAAATCACATGTGTGGGTATCTGTATACAATCATGAGCTATATAACAGAATTTTAGTCAACAACGAACCAGATATGCACTGTGGTCCCAGACGACTAAACAATATTAGTGGAACTAATAATGGTGAAATGGTTATGTTACTGACTCGCACGTAGTTGCCCGAGGTTTAAGTCCCAGACCTGGTAGCTTAAAACTCATGCTGAGTGCCTGTGTATGCATGCCCAAAATCCTAAGAAGAGAATGAAGGAGAAGGGATTGTGGTGTGGCTATCCTCCCTTGGGAGTGATTTCTCGCTTTCTTGCTTTCTGTCTCTCTTTCTGGCTTTCTGTCTCTCTTTCTGGCTTTCTGTCTCTCTTTCTCCCAGTCTCTCCAGTGAGTGCACATGCCCTGTAGCAAAAATCTCTCTAAAAAAAGACTATACGATATTGGGCCAGCAGGTGACGTGAAAGTTAAGGCGGCTGAATCCCACGTGGTCCCTTGTGTGGTATGAGTCTCAGACCCAGCAGCTTGAATGTTATGCCAGATGTGTACCCACAATCCTGCGAGGAGAATGGAAGAGAAGGGATAGCAGCATGACTAATACTTGGGAGTTATTTTGCTTGTTACAGTGACTGTAATTTGAGTGACTTCTCATTTTCTATCTCTCTCTGGCAAGCACACATGCCCTATAACAACCTTAAAAAAAAAAAAGGCCATAAAACTATAAATATAAATATTTTCATATGAATAATGTAAGGTTAAAAAAAATCTGCCACTGAGGCTGGGTATAGCAGTGTGTGCCTATAGTACTAGGTACTCATGAGGCTGAGGCAGGAGAATCAGGAATTAGACGCCGGTCTGGGCAACACGGTGATACCCTAGCTCGCTCTGTTTTTTCATTTAATGAATTAATTTATCTATTCTGCTATAGGGCCCATGTGCTTACCAGGGAGAGAGAGATAAAAAGAAAGAAAGTGAGAAATCATATGAAGTTAACTAAAGTTAGAAACTGCATTATGACTTTTTTGAAAATCAGCACTTAGGGACCAGCAGATGGCTTAACAAATATGTCACTGGACTCCCATGTAGTCGACCACGGTTCCAGACCTGGCGACTTAAAACTCATGTCAGGCACATGTGTGTGCTTGCCCAAAAGTCCTGAGAGGAGAATGGAGAAGAAGGAATTGTGTGACTATCCCCTCTAGGGGATGATTTCTCGCTTCCTCTCTCTCTCTCTCTCTGGTGAGTGCATGAACCCTACGGCAGAAATCTCTCAAAAAAAAAAAAAAAAAAAAAAAAAAGAAAATCAGCATTTAGACTTCCTTATTCTTGCAATTTTTTTGGTTTTTAGTTCATTAATTTCACCTTTTACCTTTTTAAAAATGTCTTTATTTATTTATTTTATTTGTTATTATCACTTTTTAATTTGACCAGAGAGAGACTGAGAGAGCAAGGGAAAGTGAGAAAGTGAGCCTCTGGGTCCAGGACTTGAACTGCAGTCGGCCACGTAGGAGTCCAGTGCCTTAACTATCAAACCATCTGCCAGCCAGTCACCTTTTACCTTTATTAATTCCTTCTTAGTTTCCGATTTACTTATGTTCTTTTTCTAAATGCATTATTACATTTTAAATTTTAAAAAATCTAATTTTAAAAGATCTGGACTTCTAGCAGTTTGACCAACTGTATACCGTGGGCCCACTGAGACAACTAAAAACTGTAGGATAAAATATATTCTTAAAAATATATATATACACACACTATAAACAGGGCTAGGGCATGCGTGTTCACAGGGAGAGGGAGGAAGCACGCAAAAGAAGGGTAAAGGGGTGTGGGGCGATGAGAGAAAGTACTTCCTGGAAGGACGGCCACAATACCTCCTCCCCCATTCTCCTCTTGGAATTTTGGGCACACATGCTTGGTATGTTTCTCAAGCCACCAGGGCCAGGACTCAAATCACATAGTTGGTCCTGTGGGATCCAGATGCCTTACACCAAAACGCCACTGGCTGGCCTACATTGTTCTTCTTATATTTAATATACATTATATAAAATTTTTTGCAACCACTTCATATTTAATGATAATTTTTAAACTTTGTAAGAAATACATCTTTACTTACTTGGAACATTAATGTTCCTGAATAGCATATTCATTACTAATACAGGACAAATGAATAAATGAATCGTTTGTTGTTTTGTGCCTTTTTTTTTTTTTTTTTTTTAGATTTTTCTCATAAGGCATGTACCCTCACTGGAGAGACAGAGAAACAGAGAGACAGGCCGAGTGAGAATTCACCCCAAGGGGGATAGCCACACCATAATCCCTTCTCTTTCATTCTCCTCTCAGGATTCTGGGCGCATGTGCACACACAGCCCAGTGTGTTTTTCAGGTCGCCAGGTCTGGGACTTGAACTATGCAGTTAACAATCTGGGATCCAGTGTCTTGACTAGCATACTACCTGCTGGCCCTATCAGACAATTAATTTTATTTTCCACTAGCTATTGCCATTCTACTTATGCTTAGACAAGTTTTCCCTAAAGCAAAAAGCAAGTTTTCTCTTGTATCACATCTCTTCATAAGAGTTAATTTTATTTATACCTTTATCCATAATTTTTATATGTATGACATAAAGCATAATACTAAAAAGAAAAATATGTTAAAGGATGATGCTATAAAAGAAAAGAATATGGCCAAGTTGTGGTGGTACAGGTGGTAGGGTATAGCTGCACAGTATCGAAGCCACAGGATAAGGTCTGGGGTTCAGACCCTGGGCTGACTTGCACCCACCAGATGGGCCCAGGGTGCTCCTGTGATCCCGGCTGGCTGAAGGGCTTTGTGGGAGAGTGAGGATCAGGGCACAAGACTGGTAAGGAGTCTCCATCTTTCTCACTCTCTCTCTCATGAAAGAAATAACCTTTAACAAAAAAGGGGCGACACGTAATGGGACAATATACATTATTTTAATCCATGTGAAAAACAGTGCCAAATATACTTTGTTGAAAAGAGAAAATCATGAAGTTAAAATCGTAGACTGATTTTTTTTAGGTTTTACCCCCACGGAGCTCTCCATTTGTGTGTGCTAAACATGTAAATCATCCTATCATGTCGTGTTTGCTATATCTACTCTGAACAGTATGTCATCTGAGAGCAATCTGAGTATTCTGTTCACTGTCAGACCCCAGCTGAGGACTGGATATAGAGTAACCACTCAAATAACATCACTATAGGAATGGCTCAAAAGGTTATTTCCAAGACAAAGATTCTTATAAGTAATTATTCTATAAAGGATAAAATTTATAAGAAAAAACTATTTTGACCCACTTGTAATGATACCACTTTTCCTTCCAGATTTTCTGCCTTTTTCTTCCACTCAGCTATAAGCTGTTTTTGCTTTTCTAGTTCAGCAGAATACATTGCTTTTTCCTCTAAAGACAAAAGAAAGTCACATTAGTATTTTGTAATTATGTGATAAAACTAGAAGTATAAGTCACTCAAAATTTTAATAATTTAACAAAAACAGTAAAAAGAAGTCTCAATAAAAAAATTATGTGTATATCATATATACACATTATATATCATATATACACATTTTATACATATATGATATATACAGACATTATATATATGATATATATATATCTCAATCATATAATATGTGGGCATGTGTATGTATGTATAGACAGCTGTCAGGAAACTCACGGTGCATTTTTACATAGAAAAACTGAAAAATACATCATGAGTTTCCCAACAACATAGTACACACACACACACACACACACACACACCACATATTTAGAGAGAGACAGAGAGGGAGCCAGCCTGAGGCTTGGTGGTTAAGGTGGCTGAATCCCACATGGCTAACTGTATGGTTCAAGCCCTGGACCCAGTGGCTTAAAAACTATGTCAAGCACACATGGGTGCATGCCCAAAATCCCAAGTGGAAAACAGAGAAGGGACTGTGGTATAGCCATCACCCCAACCCAGGTACAGGGGGTGCTTTCTTACTCCCCCCCACCCCCCGTCTGTCTCTCTCTTTCTCCAACCAGAGCATATAGCCTATGACAAAAATTTAAAAAAAAAAAAATCATATATGTTTTAGTGATAACGTTAAGTGAAACTGAAGTGATGAGATTACCGACTCCTCTGCCTAACCCTTCTCCATTTCGTCTATTTTATAGATGATAACTCCACTCAACTATTTCCTCTCTGGCAATGCTTTCTCTGCAGTCTCAACAGCATACTACTTCATATACACGCCTACTCTAGTAATTGCTTTATACTGTAAAATAAACGCAGAGAACTATTTTATTTAAAATTCAAGATCTGGAGGCCAGCAGGCAGCATGGTGGTTAAGGGTGCTGGATTCCCACATGGCCAACTGCATGGTTTCAGTCCCAGACCTGACAGCTTGAAAAACATGCCAGTGTGTACGCACATGTGCTCAAAAATCTCAAGAAGAGACTGGAAAAGGGACTGCGGCACTAGATACCCCCGTGAGGGTGATTTCTCACTTTCCCTCTCTCTTTCTGTTTGTCTCTGGCACGTTCATGTGCCCTATAGCAAAATTATTAAGTCATTGGGAAAGTCATGATGTATTTTTCTGTGTTTTCCTATGCAAAAATGTGTCATGACTTTCCTGATGACCCTGTAAAAAACAGTAATATATAAAAAACTATAAAGTCACATTACTTCACGGCCATCATCTCCCCTAAAATCCCCTCACCGTCTCCCCAACTAGCTTTAATTCATTGTCAGTGATTACTGCATATATAAGAAAACAAACGGATGGGTGAATGACTGAGGATGGAAGGGAGAATATGAACAAGTATATTGGGTTCTCAAGGTAAAACTGCTCTCGTCACTCTGACTTTGTCTCCAAAAATGTATTTTCTTCTTGGACTAGAAAATATATTTACCTCAAAATACACATTAATAGCTAAGAACAAGTTAATATTTCACAGGACAGTAATTGCAGATGAATAACACTCTGATGTGAGTTCAACCTCCAGCCAGTATCTCAAAAATTAACCAATTTTTCTATGTGTATTCTCTCTTACTTTATAGTTCCCTCTTTATTGCTTAAGTATCTGTCTTTATGTTATTCTCATACTTTCACAACTCTCACCTTAACAGGTAATATTATACTAAAAGAAAATTTTTCTAAAAAGAAATTTTTTAAAATTATTATTATTTTAAATTTTGCTATAGGGAACATGTGCTCAACAGACAGAAATCTGTCAGGTCCAGGACTCAAACCACAGTCAGTCACATGAGAGTCCAGCAACCAGCCACCTGCTGACCCCTTAAAACAAAATTTTAATAATTACCAAATACAGTTTATGTTCTCTAGTCTTGATTGTGCAAGAAGACTAAATTACCTTGTTGATGGCTATTTCCTTTTCCCCTCTACAGTCCTTGAAAGCTTTCCCTATTTCTAATCTAAAACAGCACTCAAGTAAAGTGAAATGACCTGGACCTACAATTTTCCTTCAGTGAAAAAGAGACATACAACTGACCTTGCTGAAAATGCTCGAGCACCATCTGCAGGTTGGCTAGTGACAGAGCGTACTGCTTTACTTGTTCCTGAGAGACAGACAGCTGCAGCGCAGTTTCATCCCTTTGCTTGGAGACCACATTCAGCTGTTCCTGCAGTGACTCCACCTGCACACTGGCTTGATGGCTGCAAAGAGGAGCAAAAAGTCCAACTGCTTTTATCTACAATAGACATTTCAACAAGAAGAAACTTCCCTACATCTTACTGCTTTAACCAAGTTAGGCTTCAAAATACTTAGATACTTCCCTTCGTTTTATCACTGCAGTAAAATATACATAAAATTCACATAAAATATACATAA